ACTAACTTATGGCAACACAAAAGAAAACATGGGAGCGGTGGAGATGAGGAGGTGTCGGCGTTCTGGTGATTTACTCGGAAGGCTTCAGTAGAAGCTGCTGGGAGTCCCAGCAGCTTCTACTGAAGCCAGTCCCCAATTCCGGGGACTTCCTTCCGGGGACTTCCGCCCGGGGACTCCGGGTGGCAGTATAGAGTGGCGAAGTCCCTCCCCTTCCGGTGGACCTCCATGGGACCTTATTTCGGAAAAATTATGTACTGAAGTCAATGGAGAGAGAAAGATTATCTTTCGATCCCGTTTGAATTGTGCCACGAATTACACATATGATGTTTGTCAATTTAAAAGATAATTTTGCAAGTCAAAAAAAAAAAATGTGTCGTAAAACTGTGAAGTAACACATTTGTTTGTGTGAAACGCTCAATGAACTACATCTCTGGTCAACAACACACGTCACCAAGATGGCCGTCACTACTGTCTTGTCAACAAAACGATTGACTACCCTCACTATCACCACAATGAAACACGTCCTGAAGAATGTCATGCAAAGCTGCCTGCCTGCCTTCCTTTGATTCTCTCTGAACTGCCTGGTCGTTTTAATGTTTAATGTCAACCATTTGTGCAGATAGCATGAAGTAGAGAAGATCGTCGATGCTAGCGTTAGCGTTAGCATTTCTCCCCCGGCCCGGCTTAAATTGTGTATTATAGAATGATCACACCGGTGACAGTACTCTTCAAAGGGTTCACGAAATATGACTACTACTCTTACTGTTTAACATTTTGGGTTACTTAATGTTACTTCATGTTAAGGCTAATACAAATGACAAGGCTGTAATGCTAACTAACGTGCTAGCTACTAGCTAGGTAGCTAACTTGATCAAGCCACTCCTGGTCCTTTCATCAGACGGGAAGCAAAAGAACGAGCAAGACCCATTGCTGGTATGATAACAACCTGGTACTAAGCACACAGGCATCTTGTTAATGTTATCTTATCTTAGCCAGCGCCATATAGATAGATTCTATCTATATGGCGCTGATCTTAGCTATCTCTTAGTGGAGGAAAACAATTGTGACATCACTTACGCGACTCTGGGATTTGTAGTCTTTCTAGTTACGTATTTTTCATAGTCTTATATTTCAACAGTTTTACGACAAACTGTGACTTTTTTTACATGGAAATTATTTTTTAAGATTGACAAACATCATATGTGTAATTCATGGCACAATTCAAACGGGATCGAAAGATACGTTTTCTCTCTCCATTGACTTCAATACATAATTTTTCCGAAATAAGGTCCCATGGGGCGGAAGTAGATGGGCGTGACTTCGCCACTCTATACGCCGTGAAGTGGTTTGCGGCCTGCCAGTAAACCCAAAGCAGAAGAAGAAGAAGTGACGTCAGCGGCTTCATTTGCCTAATCCACCCCCAGGAACTCATTGCGGTGTGAACGCGATCTGCTTTAGTTCATCAGAACTAAAAGAGTTCTCATGAACTGAGTTCTCATGAACTATTGTGGGAAAAGTACTTGGTGTGAACGCGCCTTATGATACTGTTTTTCATCAATATAATATAGGTCTCAGATACAGAACATGTCTCTGAAGTGTTTGGCTCGAAACACCAAACAGTTCATGCATTGTAGCATCCCATAATCCCCTCTGTTTCAGCCCTGTTACCTTGGTTTGTGATTGGCTAATGGTTACACAAGCCAAAACATCGTTATGACATCACAAAGTGGCCAAAATCTGATCAGCTCATTTTCAGACAGGTTTTTATATAAATGTATCAGGACAAAAAGTGAGCGAAACCTTTTTCCTGAAACTTTCAGAATCTCTTTACACAGAGGGGACACGTGTTGATGTATGAAAGACATGGAAAAGTGGATTTTGCATAATAGGTCCCCTTTAAGTTAGGAAATATTTGCTGATAGACAAAAGCACTTGCAAAAATAAGCATCTTCTAGATATAAAAAGTGATTTGTGCAAATGGGCAGCCTGGGAAACACCTTTACTAGGCCTGTCAATATTAACGTGTCATTGTATTTCTTTAAACCTTGTCATGTACATATATTTAAAATACCAAGTCATTACATTACCAAATGTGACCCGGCTTCCAAATAGCAGATGACAGAAAATAAAGAACCAAAAATAAATGTCCTTAAAGATTGCTGGTTCTGTAATGTTGGCGTTTAAAATCTGAGTGCACCACGAAGCAGCAATTGAAGCATGTCCAATGACGGGTCAATGATCTCTTTCAGTGCTTTTAGGCCTTAAGCGTGTCCAATGGGACAGTTTATGTTGTCTCTTACTGTAAAAGACACCATGCTAATCGGTTTTTAAATAGGCTTACCCACTGAACATTCATTTGGGTGAGATGTTAGCTTGCAAATAAACTACAAGCAACTGTTTATATTCTCTTTTAGCTTAGGACATGGGAATTGGGCAATTCTCTGAAAAAAACTGCATATTCAATAAAGATATCTGCACTGTAGAGACAGATGCATTGCATAAACTCCATCATAAGAAAAGTACAGGCATGTTTAGCATGAATGCATCCTTCCCATACTCCGGGGAGGCAGAGGATCAATAAGCCACCACACATGTGAGATCACACATTAGCATCCATTCATCTCAGCCCCTGCATACAGCCACTAAGGTCCAGAATTCCTGCGCTGCAGTGGCGGAGCGGGAGGCGTAGTGACCTGTTCACAACCCTTTCAAACTGACAGCAGCCCATTCCTCTCCTCCACTCCCTCTCTCCCAGCGCTCACTATCTCTCGCTTTCCACATCATCCTTTGCCCCACCCCTTTGCGGGAGGGCGGTTGTGATTGATTGATGTATGCCGGTGTGGATAGTGACATAAATATGAATCATCTGCCACCCTCAGGCCACTGGCTTAACCGGACTCCCCAAGAGGAGAGCAGCTTCATCATGTTTTCGCTCTCTAGCCGTTTTCTGTTCGCCCGGCGATGCTTCTGCATTCATCAATGCACCAGCCTCCTATTTTTCACTTGAGTACAAATTTAGAGTGACCATAAATAAATCCCAAAAGCTGCCATGAAAGACAGCCCTACATAATGTCAGATGTATCTACATTTTAGAGGTGTTTTATTTATTTTTATTTATTTTATTTATGTTTTTTTTGGAAATAATTTTGTTCTCTTTTTTCAGCACCAGAACACTGTGAATCACCAGTGTGTTTCTTCTGTCATCTTTTCTAGCATTTCTGCTTTTCTCTCCACCTCCCCCCCCGTCCCCTCCCACTTTTCATGCTTTATCTTCTCACATCCATTCTCTGTCTCGTTCCTCCACCTCCCCCTGTGGTGCAGGGGTGGGTCAGAGAGGGTGGGGGGGGTGTGGAGGTGGCGGGGTTGGTGAGGCCGGTGTCTGGGCATGGAGCGGAGGGGGGCGTGGTGGCTTGTCTGCCTCGGAGCCCCTAACGAGAGCGTGATTCATGGCACACGGGGCTCCCATAGGGACAGGATTAGAGGTGCTCTGTCTAAAGCGCTCCCCAGAGACAGTAAAAAGATATTTAATCTGCCCACCACGCAGGCAGATACCTCTGGGCTCCGTGGGTGTGTTAGGGCCCCCCCCCCCCCTTCCTAAAAAGAAAAACTCCTACAGCGAACTGCGCAATTATTTCTCGGTACTTTGCAGTTTAATCCTTAAACATGTTGTCATTCTTTGTCCTACAGAAACGGTCCATATTGATTGGCTAATCATGATTATTCAATAGCATCAATTGAATGTCCAGACCTAAGATGCTATTGTTTACTATACTGTATATAAGATGTTTTAAAAAGATGTCCTGAAAAAATGTAATTATTAAAATAAGTTATTGTCTCTTTATATAACTTTCAAACATGAATGCGTAAACAAAAATGATTAAAAAAATTAAATTGTCTTTATTGGTTTTCTGTTTAGCAGATCATTTTAATCCAACTGAGATCGTGAAAATGTATTAAAAAATAAATGATAGAGATTAAATAATTTACCTCAGATTTCATGAAATCATGAAATAAATACTATACAAAATAAATGTATATATTTCAAATATGATAAGTAGCCAGATAGCTCAGGCAATGTCCCCCCCTTCTGTGTCCCCCCTTTCAACACTGCATAAAAGGGCCCAAAAAAAAAATATATATATATATATATATTAAAAATAAATATTAAAAAAAGCAAGGGGTTGCTCAATATTTCAATATGAATAATACAAACACCTTTAAAGCTTCTGTAATCAATATTCCTACATTAACAAAGACTAATTGTAATGTGAAAAGGATGGTTTATAGTGAGGAACCCACAGAGGATGATCCGCCTGCTATCAGCTCCCTTCAGCTCTATGTAGCATTTCAGCATCTTCTAACTCATTGTTTGGGTTTTGTCAGCCGGTAACTTTACGGTTTTGGTTTGGTCACACCTCTCTGAATAATAAATCATTTGCATTTTATGTGTCAAACACTATTGTAAGCAGCCATGATGATTAGCAGGCTTTACATAGCATTTCACACTGAGTACCTTCCTTTGGAATCAACGGGACTGCGTTTCAGGACAAAGAAGAAAGAGCCTTACTTCGGAAGTGTGTCGAAGTTATTTTACTTTCACAATTTAAATGGTTTCCTCTATGCATGCTGGATGTTTCCAAGCTGTTACCGGTTTCTTAAACATTGCTCATTAAACAGGGTGAAGCAGTGGGATCAGGTGTAGCTGGCATCAGGCTCTTCAAACAGATGGCAGCAGGGTGTAGGAAGAGATGTTAAATGTACACGTTTAAAAAGCCTTGTTCTGCTCAGAAAGGTTGGAAAAATACAAAATAGAGCTATCAATGTAAACTGGTTCAACCTTAGTTTGTGCCATGGCTATTTGATAGGTTACGTATTTCAAGTATGTCTCAAACAAGGGAAGCAGGCATATAAGAGAATGAATTAGAAATCCAGAGAACTAATTCATACTGTTTACTGATGGTCTATTTGTATTTTAATCTTCTGATGGTATTTCTCTGCAGGGACTTTGTCTTCGACAGCGGGAACAATCTCCCGACAAGAGGACTGATTGTTCTGCTGTTGTCCAAAGCAGCAGGGCCGAGCCACACGGCCTCCGATCTTCTGGCTCAGGACACGGTCAGCGGCATCCACACGAGGTAATTCAGTATTGGAGCCAGAATGATCTCAATATGTAGACACTTTGCTTGGGAACTGGAGGGTTGCCGGTTCAGGTCCCAGAACGGACCAAACTGGTTACCCAAACCGGTTACCCAAACCGGTTACCCAAACCACTTTGGGTTAAATGCAGTGTCTACATTTGAGTTTGTTTTCTCTGTACATGTGAAGCAATAAAAGAGGATCTCAAAATCTTCCATTTCCATCCATTCAACTTGAAGTGATTGACACCATTTTTGGATGCCAGTAACCTCAGTTTTTGGGTTGATTGAGCGTTCATCTCCCGTGAACACGATATCTTCCTAATCTAGCTCAAATGTCCATTTGGTCTCAAGGATGAACTGATTATATTTTCGTCTTCAAAGGTCTTTTGGACACAACTCAAGTCTTCATATTCTAAGTATTACAATTTCACACAAGTATCTAATAGGGTAAATGATAAAGTTATGACTCTATTGGACAGACATATGATGCAAGATATAACTTTATAATCAGGGGTGCACATAACTTTCTTAGTGAGTTACTCAAATGAGTACCAGGAGACAATGTTTGGTACTCAGGGCTGCCCACGCAAAGTTCTGTGTTCAGCCCTTCTGTTTCGCGGACGGACGGGGTGTCGGTGGGGGTGTGGTATTGAACGTCGACGGGAGGGGTGAAGGTGGGCACGGGAGCACGCCCGTGGAACTCGCGCCGGAAGTTGTGGCACAATTCCGTTGTACACACCGACGTTAACAGCAGCCCCGTCTGTGTGCATGGCGACCGGCTCTGTCGTCCAGTGATCGAAGCGCCTTCTGGAAATGCTTCACAAGTCCGCCGGTAAATGCGCTTAGTGAGACAAGTGCCGGTACGCATTTCAGATGTTTGCCGCGCATGCGTACCTGCATACCAGTTATAACCTGGTTATAATCTAATTTGTAGAGGAATTCAACGTGGGGCGATAATTCTAGTTTACATTGGTTGAGTCAGAAGATGGTAAGGGACCATTTAGGGGCTATCAGTTCTGTTCATCTACTGCTTATTACTACTTAGATCCATATAATGTCCATCAAAGTCCCGACTCTCCACTTTGCTGCTCTTCTGGCTTTGTTTACCGATGTTCCTCAAACTTCCAGACATCTGCTTTCTCCCTGAACACTTCAGCATGTTTGACTTTACAGCTCTGCATGGTGCAAGCATCAACATCAGCAGGATGCGCTGATGAATCTTCCTCCTCTGCAGGAAATTCCCTAAAGCATGCCTAACTGAGAGAAATCTAATTGGTTGCCATTGCATAAAATAACCATTGCACAGAAACATTGTGCCCTAGAGGATTTTCCCAAATGTTAAACTGTGTCTACCAACCTTAATCACAGTCATAGAGCCTCTACGGAATTATTTCCACTATCATACCACGGCTAGTTTCTAATCCACAACTATCGGTTCATGTCTGTAACCCCACACTAGCAGACCATCCTTCTTGTTTCAGAATATTTTCATGTACAGTAGGCATTGATTTAATGGAAAACAGTGTGCAGTAAAAACATGCATAATATTGCTTTTTGGAAAACATAAATGTGCATGGCAAGCAGACCAAGAAAGGTGATGCCTCTTTTGTCCGTGTTACATGGCTGATGAAGGATAAATAGAGAAATAAAATCCTCTTGTCAGGTAACTCTATCTTGGCCTTTGTGGTTATAGTCCATATCAATTCCTGTAAATGAAGCACTACATTATCTTTCAAATATAATGGATACTGGGAGTAAAATAACCACAGTAACACAGTTGCGAGGCAGTTGTTAAAGAAAAAACTAACGACATCGCAATCCTGACGCGATAAAGTAGTCCTGGCCACTGCGTGCCAACAAATGGAACTGCGACGTTACTTAAAATGATGGCAGCACTGATCGAGATTAACGGTAAATGTCAGTCTGTTCACATTATCTTTTTCATGTCTTTAAACTCTGCCAGAGCCCATACCTTGTTCCCAATGGTGTTTACTTCCTGTCTGTCTCCTTCTGTTGAGTTCTCTGACGTCTAGCGCTCTGTCTTTTAAACTTCTTTATTTTGTCTTGCTTTTTTTTCTTTTTTTCAAAAAGTATTCCATTGTGTTTTCTGATTGAGAAAACGAATGTTCTTTGTTTGCAGCTGATGTTAAATTGACCGAACTTCTTTCTGCGGATTGATTTGGCTGCACACAGTCCCTTGATCCTCCTTAGCAACGGTCTGTTCTCCTTAGCAGTGGTCTGTTAGTGAGAATGAACGACCTTTGTAATGTCCAAATTGACCAATAAGTATTGAGTATTCAACGATTATTACACAGCTTAAATGAATACTCTATTCTGATTGGTCAATTTCAACATTTTAAGGACTTCTCGGGTCAGATTAAAGTAAGCTTTGGTCAAATATGTGTTTGATCAGAAATCCTCATTGGAATGTTATTTGAATATTCATTTTCTATATGTGAGGGGCAGACTCTGAATCATAGCCATGCTCCGAATTCCCTTTATAGCTCCTTTAAATATATAGTGTCAAATTAGCTATTAGTGTTCTGCTGTGAAAATGCTTCAGGTAGCACCCCAAGGTCCTCCCCGCCTTCTCACACACATTGACTCCCGGCATGCAGCTCGGAACAGGGATGTGTGCCAAGTGGTTTCCAGAAGTGACTGCTGTGTTTGGCGTGGCCGTGTGCTGGGTGCCTCAAAGAACTCCTTTCTCACTGCTGGCTGCCACAAAGCTCAGGATGTGTGTAGAGGAGCCGGGTCTCTGCAGAAACATCCTAATATTAGACCAAATTGGGATAGCCCGGGCGCCATGGAAGAGTGTGAGGCCGAGCCTTGTTGGCAGGTTGTTTCTCACTACAGGACACACACACACACACACACACACACACACACACACACACACACACACACACACACACACACACACACACACACACACACACACACACCCCTCATGTCACTACCTGGCACTTGCATCATTGTGACATTGGATCACTGAACCCAACATGCAGCATTCCGTCAGTCATGTGTGATGGATAGCCCCAACACACACACACACACACACACACAGCATGACTTGATCACCTCATTTGCACTGTCTTGCGCTCCCTTTCTCTCCCCCCCACCTATCCGCACCTCTCCTGGGCTCATTAGCACCTCTGATGGAAGAGATGGAGGGATGGAGGGGGTCGGGGTGGGGCGGAATTTGGGGTGAGGGGGTGGGGGGTGATTGAAACCTCCGGGGGACGGTCTCCTCCCTCCTGACAGGCAGCATTTGTAAAACATTTCCCACTCTGCTGCCTGACACTGATGATTCACCAAATTACCGCCATGATAGATAGATAGATAAATAGATAGATGGATGGATGGATGGATGGATGGATAGGTAGATAGATAGATAGATAGATAGATAGATAGATAGGTAGATAGATAGATAGATAGGTAGATAGATAGGTAGATAGATAGATAGATATATGTAGATAGATAGATGGATGGATGGATAGATAGGTAGATAGATAGATAGATAGATAGGTAGATAGATAGATAGATAGATATATGTAGATAGATAGAAACACACACTCCACTAGTATGATAGTCCAACTTGTACCCACCACAACTCTTTATTTCTCGTGACAAATGAGAGTGGTGCCACTGAACTCATCTCTTGGCGCGTCTGATGGACAGGCCAGCTCTTTAAATCTCACACAGGGCCGCACTCACATCTGCAAGGCTGCATTTGATGGCGAGGCACACTGCAGAGGGAGGAAAATGGAACAGAACAGTCAGGACAAGGGGCGTGGTAGGGGGCGTTACACCTCGGCAAGATGGCATCGGTTGCTATGCAACTGGGCACCAAAGCTATTTATACACCGGCCCCCTTGTCCCCCTTTTTTCCTCCCCAAGCTCCACTGCTACTGATCAGGATTGCTGTACGGAGGCAAGGCTTTGGGATGTGTGTTTGCACTGGGGTTCATCTGATTTGGGTTTTTGGTCAGCCACTGTTCAATGCTAGGTCTGGCACGATGATTACTTTTGTTGAACGATATGTTGTCCCAGAAATAATTGCGATAAATCATTTTATTTTCATTTTAAGACTATTTAATGCCAGTGATGTATTAACATTGTTACTAAAAAAGAAAATCAAGGTCATGTCTCAATATTTTTAAATCAAAAAGATTTATGTTTCCTCTTACAGTATTCCTGTTAGGGTGGGTGTCTAACACATGTCAATCATAATGGGATGCTAAAAGTGTTTGTTGTAGCCCAAATTCTGATCTCTTTGTTTACCTATGAATTACCTTTGGGCGTATAAGGCCATTGTGAGGCCACTTCCTGTCTAAGATATCAATTACAAATAAAAATGGCTTGGCCATTCGTACAAAAGAGAAGACTTCATTGTTAAATGGGAACTCCATTGATTTTACACATTATGCTTATCAGATCTATGTCTACTAGACGCACTCTCGACTCTCAGACCAAAGTGTTGGCGTCCAAGTTGCATTGTGGGTAAAGTAGGCCCCAGGTTCTGAGAAGGAAGATAAATTAGCAGAATAAGTCATTCTTATGATATCTTTTATCGAATTTAACCTGTGTCAATCATGAGTCCTTCAGTGTTATAGGAGTGTACTGCTAAATCAAAGCTCTATCTTGGTTAGCTCGATCTTTTATTGTAACAAAGTTAAACACATTTTTTAGATGAAGCTACGAAAATGCTCCCTTTGAACTTTTCGGACCTGCAGTAAAGTGTTGATCTGAATCCTAAAGCATTTGCAGATGGCAGGTTTATCACCGATTTATTGTAGTTTTACGCTCAACGTAAGTAAAGTGCCACAGCAAGGCTGACCTTGCAACATTTAAAATGTTATTTTTATGACCTGAAATCAGCTCTTTATCAGCCTTCTCTTGTTGTAACAATGAACTCTCCTCTTGAAACCCTGTGGAGCGAAGATATCACTCGGAGGCACCTTGTGAACAAGCCACTGTCAATCTGCTAATTTCCTCTTATTTAAAGCCTGAACTTATTAACTCTCATTCGGGGCGACGGTGTTGTTGCTTTGCGTCACCGAGCTGAGAAACCAACCAGACAATGGATGTGATTGAGAGGCGAAACAGATGACATTATTGAATTTTAATCACATCTTCTCCGCGCCGTCGTCGAACACGGCAATTACCTGGCTACAAGACGTGTGTTTGTGAGTGTGTGTGTGAGTGTGTGTGTGTGTGTGTGTGTGTGTGTGTGTGTATAGGAAGGGGTTGGAGCGGGAAGGCAGACGATCGGCTCATCAGGTTCTCACAGCGGCTGAAAGAAGGTCGTAAGTGGCTATCAGCGCTCCCAACCCTGTCTGGATAGATCCCTCCTGTCGCAGCAGAGCTCCTTCCATGTGGAGAGGGGCCTAATTACCCCCCACCAATGGCTGAATCAACATTTGATTATATCCTCCCCAAGGCTACTCTGGAAGCCTCTATTCAAAGACCACTTTTATTATGTCTTTTCTCTCATAATCAAGAATGGCTGTTATTTGCTAATGATACGTTTGATATATATTTTTAACACAACCCCTGACACTGGTGCAGTGAGATGTCTGACATATGTTCTGTTTGAGTACGCTGATTTTGACTTGAATGGTTTGTCAAACCCAATTGTTGTTCTAGAGAACTCAGATTTTTGAATATACACGGTCATTTATTATTTAAAGTTGTCTAAATGTTCCAGATAGCAGTTGGTTGATGTTGTTTGGAGCAGCGCTGTGTATTTGAGTCAAATCAAAAACAAGACTCCGCAATCTGAATAACGCTGTTTTATTGAAAAAATAGATGTTTTTCTCTTTTGCTAGACGAATACAATGAAACCCACACTACCTTTGTTTTGATTGATTCCTTTGTGGTCCGAACACCTGTACGTGATGCTGTGAAGAAATGCATATTTCACCAGCAAAAAGACAATGAATATGATCCTGTCAAAAAGCTCTCTAACTGTCAAACCTCCGGAACACCTCTTGTAAAAGCTGTTGACAAAAAAGCTAAACATGAATTCTTTGTTTTGTTCTTTAGCCAGCGTAACTTGGCAGAAATCACAGAGTTGATCCACACGGCGTTCCTGGTGCATCGTGGGATAGTGGACCTGAAGGAGTGGACAGTCTCAGATGGCCCACTGAAGGACATGGAGTTCGGGAATAAGATCGCCGTCCTGAGCGGCGACTTCCTGCTAGCAAACGCTTGTACCGGACTTGCCCAACTGAACAACACTAAGGTACCCTGTCTGTTAATAACAAATGATTAGTGTAACTGTGAAATGTTCGACCTATCATCAGTGATATTTTTGAGGAACCACCGCTTTGAACGATCTCCCGGTGGCCATTATAATCACTGTTGACCTTTATCCCTAGGTCTTTTCTCACCCCCATACAGCATCCACACTCCATTTCAGAGTTCCCACTAATCATGGAATTTGTATAATATGATTTCTTTTTGAGAGGTATTTTCCATCTTTTTCCACAGCAGCAAAACCCTACATATTCATTTCATAGAACAACATTAAGTGGTTATCGTTGTCTTTTTATTTTGTCTCCATCTGGATCTGAGTCTGCATTGGTGTGATTTTTACACTGCAATTGTCAGAGATCCTTTTTCATTCAAACACTGAAGCCCAGTGATTCGCATCCTGGGGGGCAGTGAGATATATCTGAGTGCCCGCGAGATGATCACAGGGATCATGTGGCTCAGTGGGATATTAAGTCCCTAAGTCACGAGTATGTAAGTCGCTTTGGATAAAAGCGTCTAACAAATGACATGTAATGTAATCAACAAGATAAGCTTGTTTGTATTGTGCTGTGTTGAACGAAGCAAAACACCACTTTCGTGGTTGGTCCGGCAACTTCCGTTATGTAGCCAAGATGGCGATTGTTGATAGTAACCAGTATTCCACACTCAACTTTTTGGCCATTACGAGTGCTGCATCAGTGTTCTCATAGTGCACTGCATTTAGTCATACTTCAAATTGGGATGCACTTTTGCACTCAAGATAGCTGTTGTTGGTACAGAAGTATGCAAATTGAAACAGGGTTTTATGGTCGAACTGAGGCGGCCAGCAATGGAAAAAAGATGTTAGATGTTTACTAGAAAGTTTGTGTGTTTTTTGGAGTGATAAGACAAGAGGTGGCAGAGTGAGAGAACTACAATTCAAGGGGCCCAGGAGCTGTCTGTGTGCTGCCATCTTGGATAATCATATCAAAACGTACAAGTGCTAGTTTCGTGTACCAGTGTGGTGCTGTACAGTTTGATATTATGTACACCTTTCCAGGTCATATTTAATGTCTTTCACACTGTATTTATATAAAACACTTTTCCGAAAACAGGTCTTTGTAATGGTTAAGAGTTTGGTCAGGAGACACTGTAAACATGGACGCCATGGGAATGCTTCTTATTGAGTTTTCTGGAGGTAAGTGTGGTGGTGGTCGTGTGGTCACAGATCATATCTCTTGCGTAGCCTGGTAACCTCTCGATGACAGAAGCTGTCACCACGCTGCTCTGTCAGAATGTGGTTGCCTGAGTGGATCAAAATAACCGTATCTCTGCCATCAGCTGGACCGAGCCTTATCGCTCTCCCTGACGACTCTTATTCAGCACACAGTCTAGGAGCAATGAGATGCCCTCCCAAATGGAAGCGGTATCCATGGTGGGAACACAGCAAGAGTTACGAGGAACCATTTCCTTTTGAATTAAAAATGATTTTTAAGGTGTGGCATTTCCTTTCCAGTGCTAATTGGCTTTCATTAAGATTTGTCACTGCAACAGTACTGTGTGAGATAATTGACAAACGGGAATTACAGTAATGGAAAAGAAAAACACACTGAGAATGAAATGATGGCAGATCTGCTGATGACTTGAGCTAATCATGATGTAATCACATTAACATGCACACTGTGCGTTGGCACTGGTTGAATGGAAGTTGTGGAGCATCTGTCCCTTAAGTGGGGCTCATTGTCAAGGTGAGAGCAAAGCCATTCAAACTCAAGTGGCACCGAATGACACAAGAAACTATTTGTCGAAAACAAACCTGCTGTGTTTAGAAGGAGTGTGAGTGTAATGTGAAGCGGCCACAGGAAACGTCCCCAAAAAAGGAAGTTTTAAAGGTAATAAGGAGATGGTCATCTGATAGCCAGCAGTTGCTCGTGTTTGAAAAGGTTAGCAAAACAAAATAAACCGAGGGCAAACCACGGTGTGCACTGATGCTCATATTCTGCTGTGTTTGTGTCAAGCTGTTCTTAAATACCTTATGACCAGGGGGGAAATTAGGTTAAAGCAAAAGTCAATCATTGTGAGTTTAAGTTACAGGAATTGGATATGTTTGGGACATTTCTTTTTTTCAATGGTGTGGTGATCCTGTTTACTCCCCCTCCTGTTCATGTTGACTTTCCTCCATCACTTTTACTTGACTTTCCTTCCTTCACTTTTATTTGGTTTGAGCGAAAGAAAACGATCTATGTTCATTTCACCTGAAGTAGTCTTGTAAATTAGGAACTTTGAGTAGATGCACTGTGCACACAACATCATCAAACTAGTGTGTCTATCAACAGAAATTGAGGAGACTCGCTATCCATTAATGGCTCTATTAAAACAAAGACGTACATATTGTAGCCGGCATGAAAATCAAGACTACACTCGAGTTGTGAGGCAATAAAATGTTCAAAATTCAAACAGCAAAGCCAGAGATAGTCTAGTCTTTAGAATGGGTCAAGTTCCAAAAACACTACATTTCCTATGATGCAACTGGAAATCATGTTTAGTTAGACCCCCTACTCTCACCTCATTTTTTACCCCACACCTCCAGTTCATAAAAATAACCCAGAAAACATTGCCCGATTGAACGCTGCACATTTAAAAAAACGCACAGTTGATACACACACAGCTTGGACCGCTTGGACATTCGGGGATTTGGAACATTTTAGTTTTTATATTTGCATCATTTTTTAAACTCGGCGTGTTTCTCCTAATGGAAGATATATGGGCCGTTGTAGCGCGTTTGCACCTTTCGGCCACCGTACATAAACCTACATAAAACACTACTGGAGCGGGAAAACCTCAAAAAGCATAATATGGCTTCTTTCAAGTTTTAGAGCCACAAAAAAAATTGTTCGACATAATAATCTTATCTTATCTTATAATATAATACTGAACATATCAAGCTTTGCTCCTAGGCTAACCCCAGTTTTAATCACTAATTGGTTTAGCTCATTAGGATAAACAAGGATACAAATAGACATTTACATTTTTGAAACTTAACATTTCTCTCAGGCAAATGCAAAGAAAGCAAACTTTAGATATGTATAACTCTGCATCAGCTCCAAAGGGTGTTCAAAGAGTGCAGTTTGAGTCTGGTATGTATGAAAAACAGATTGCCTGTCTCTTCTTGCAGCTTGTGTGTGGCCATTGTCCCTCATCTCTTTAACACACGGGGTGACAGATGAGTCGTTCTTGCAGCTTTCAAAGTTTTTCTCATAAACCGGGCCTTTTTCTCCTTCTTCTTTTAAGGCAGTGAGAGTGATGGAGATTATGTGTCGTGGCCTTGAGAGGAAACCTATGCCGCTACTTGTATAAACTGTAAAGTAATCTCACCGCCAGGCTCCGGTTTCTCCCCCCTCGCAGACCTGTCGGCAAAACACGATCTGGCTGGATTTGGGAATGGAGTAAGGGGGAGGCAGGGGGAGAGCTTATCTGATACTTTCCAAAAAAAGACCCCCACCGGCCCCCACTTCCCAAGGCAGGCAGAGACACCACATCTGGTAATACTGTAGGCACATTGTCCTTCCAGGTCTGCGGGTGGAGCTCGGGTTTCCTCAATATTTTCCCCCGGTGGGTTCAGTTACCCAGAGGGCACGGCGGGGGCTGACGGAGCAGCGTCACCAGACTTTTCTGATGAACCAAGGATGTCTGGGATGAGCTGAAGGAGCTCTAAATTTAACCTCATTCATGTGAACCGTACGGGCGTGGCCTCCACCCCCCGTCCACACAGGTCTGAGGCTGTGAATGAAGGACGGAGACTTTTCATTTTCACTCATACATTAGATCCAGACCTGTCATCTGAAATGATGCAGCCTCTCATCTGGGGGTTGATAATTGGCTGCCAGTGTTTCTCGAAGCTAAAAATGTAGTCATGCATGCCCCCTGTAAGAGGGAATAGGCAACTGCAGCAGACACTCACACCTCCACAAGGCACTGTGGGAGAGAATTAAGCTTTGTTTTGTTTATTTATATATGTTTTAGTATGAATTGTAATGTCAGTTTTCCAAAAGCAGCATGTTTTCTTTTTGCCGCATATTTATTATATTATAGTGTAAAGAGTCATATCAAACACCAAGAACACAAAATCAAACCAATGCAGCATGATAAAAACAAACACATCAGCGAGCAAAAAATGAATAAAATAAAAAACCGTAGATTTAGTGGAGTAAGTTAGAGTCAATAAAGAAAAATGATGAAAAAATCATAAACCTCAAAATATATATTTGAGAGATTATGTTTAAAATAAAAGGTTTTTCTCCATTTCCAGTTTACATTTTTATTTTTTGCTTTCTCTACCTCTATTACTAAAAACACTGACTCATTAGTCGATTTTTGATCTTAGTAAACTAAGATTTCTCTGTTAATGCTTTTCCACTTATTTCCAAGAAATTAATAAGCACATTGCTAGTAAACACAATATTTAAAGTGGCGACTCTGATTCTCCATGATATCAATAAATTGTTTAATTCATTAAAACGTATTCTCTGAATTATTTTCTATGATTTTTTTTTCTGTAAGTATCAACAGATTATTATAACCAATCTGCAATGCTCAAAGTCCAAACTGCTCTATCTTCTATAGCGTACTCATGTGTTCATATTATTTATAAAAGCGTCAAACAACAGTCCATAGAGTTTTAAAATAGTGTCTTTATTATACTGTCTATATTTATACAAGCTTCATAGTTTATTAAATATTTATACTACTGTTCATACTCTCTATACTTGAGCTTTTTATATATAAATGCTTCTCTTGCACCTCTGGTCTGATGATAACTGCATTTGATTATCGCAGTACTTTGTGCAGTGACAATGAAGTTGATTCCAACACTGAAAAAAATGAAAACAAGGTGTTTTCACTTGTAATATGTGAATTCTGCCAATAGAAGAAGGGAAGTGTGCTTGGTAAGATATCTTAAAGAAGATGGGATATTTAGATAAGATCTTGTGATTAGCTGGCAACACTTATTTTGAACTATATTTGACGGGAATCAGGAAATGTTTTTCCAAAATAAGCCAGAAATGCTCATAAGTTCTTTTATTTTTTAGATACAACTCAAAATAAGATGTTTTCAAGAGACCTAATAACATACAGTACTTAAGATGCATTGTCTGAAAACAAGACCCTATATCCCACTGCATTGTTACTTTAGTACTTTACTTTTGAGTTATTAGGTCTTATATCAAGTGTAAAGACATATTCTGACTACATATTAGACAGATATACTTGGCAAGACTTCCAGTTTTTGGAGTGAATCTAAATCGAAGGCACAAAGTGAAATAAATCCTCAAACATTGCAGAGAAAAAGAGGAGCCTAAAATCCGATCATGGCTCTTTAACCTTATTTCCCCCCTGGACACAGTTCTATTTGGTTTCACCATCTGACTTTTAGCTCCATTTCAGCCCCTCACACCGGACCGACACCGGATCTGTCTATCCTCTGGACTTCTCTATAAATACAAAGTATAATGAAGCAAGATAATGAGCCGTTGAGTTCACATCTCGCCTCCTGATCTCTTCACAGCCAGCTGTTGAGCTGAGCGCTGTCACCTCTCGCTTCAGTCAGGGGGAAATTGTGTTTTTTGACTTGTAATGAAGGATCAGGTTATGGGTTCAGAGTTAAAGGACGCCTCAACAGGTCACACGGCTGATCAAACACCGCAAAAAGTCGATTTTCAATAATATAAAAAATCCTAAATCAAGGAAATATAAACGTGTTTTGGGGCAGTTTTTATGTAAGAGAATTTCAATGATGTCTATCTCTGTTGCCCATAATGACCTTAAAGGTTTTACTGAGATGATATTACTGCTTCTGAGTACCTTTTAATGCTTGAAGAATGACCAGTATTTTAAAGCTGTTTGACCAACAATGGTAAATACAAAACTGCTTGGCTGAAGTCATCATTTATCCCTTCATATGTTAAAAAACAGATAGAATTCACAGGTTTTGTGTCAATCTAAAACCAGAGCACAGCAACTTTGTACTTCTATGATAAATACAGTTCACTTTTCACATCAGGAAACGCACTAAGTAAGAGTCATTTGAACTGTTGGCAAGTTTCTTATATCATATATGCCATGGCCCCACCATAGCCAATATGTATTCCATAAATATTCCCCTTATGTCAAGAGGATAGCACATTTCCCTCCATGTTGAGCAAGAAAAGCTCTTTACTTTGTATCCAGACAAATGTGCTTGTTTTAAGTGTGGCTTAGGCTTAGTCTTAGGCTTACGGTTAATGGCACCAGCATTTGCTACATTTGATCACATTTCCCTTCATATTGAGAAATATATATTTATTTGATTTGCATCCAGACAAATGTTCTAGTTATTTAGTCTGGCTGCACTTTTGAGATACTTATACTTGTTTTAAAAAACTTTGACAAATAAACATGTCTTTTTCTGTTGGTTGATGATTTTGCTAGTTGAAGTAATACTTTGCCCCTTTTTATTGCAGTTTATTTTGGACTTTTTGTTGTTCAATATTTGACTCAGTTGTAAACATACCAGAGAATGATGTGTGACTGTATTGTAATTGTAATTCTGACAATGCTTAACGATTGAAATGTTCACCCAAAGGTTTAATGTTATTGTGTCTGCTTTGCAGGTTGTTGAACTGATCTCGAGTGCCATTGGTGACGTGGTTCAAGGAATCTACAACGAGAACACCAGTAATACGGAGGTAAAGCATCGTTTATACGTTTATGCCAGGACAAAGCCCAACAGACTACACAGTTGGGCTTTGTCGATCATTTGGCTGTTCTTCATAACTCCCATAAAAAGACTCAAAACAACAAAGAATGCATTCTAACAAGTATTGTGCGTCTGTGTCTAAAGCCTTTGTTGCCAATGTTGTCATTCATACCTTATTCTCCAAATATCAAACAAACAATAAATATCCTCCAATAGTTTCCAGCTGTGTACAGAATTCAAATGAAATACTGCTTTGTAAATGGTTCTGAATCTAGGCGCTACAAGCTGTTATTAATAAGAAAAAGTACACTTTTTGATAAATAACGGATTAAAGAGAGTCTTTTTGATGGTAAACAGGAGTTTCTCTTAATGTTCTGCACTCGGTCCTTTCCCACGGGAGTTTGATGTTGTGTTACTCAGACAGAGTTCCACTTCTGACCACTTCTTCTTCTGTCTGGTTATTCAAGAAAATGCTCGAGCAATCATTTAAACCTTACAATAAATATTTAAGATGCATCTTTTCTCTATTATGAGTAAAACATGTTAATAACTGCGGAAGTTTTTGTAGATATGTTGGTCTTTACTTCTGGTGCACAGTCTTCAACACGGAAAGAATGAGCGAGTTTTTTAGTTTGAGGTGTTCTGATGAAGTTGTGCAGTGGCAGCAGTGAGCGCTCAGTGTCTCCGCCCCTCTTTTCTCAGCAGGAGAACAGTCTGGATGTAGAGGCGTGGGAGGAGCACACCTTCCTGTCCCATGGTGCACTGCTGGCCAAGAGCTGCCAAGCTGCCATGGAGCTGGCCCAACACGACAAGGAGGCCCAAAGACTGGCCTACACGTTCGGCAAACACCTGTCCATGGGCCACAAGGTGAGTCACCTGATCCCCCCCCCCCCCCACATACACTGAAAAAACTGAAACGTTGACTTTAATTGTATGTATTGTGTCTGCAGATTTCCAATAACTGTATTAGGTTAGTTGAAAGCAATAATATTACGTTTATAAAACATATTAGGTTCAACTTAATATTATTGCTTTCAACTAACCTAATACAGTTATTTTTAAATGTGTTGACATAATACATTTAATTAAAATCAACAGTTCAGTTGTTTGTAGTAATTACCAGGCAAGGTGGTCTTTGGAGGAAAACTATAATAAAAGTCTGCTACTATAAATGAGTGATGGGAAGCAAGAACACATAACGGGCCTCAGACTGGAAGCATATGAACACATGTCCTCTTCTCTCAGAGGTTCTTATCCATTAGTTCTGATTTACTTTGTATCTCTGGGATTCACCAATATTTCAAATATACATATATTTTTTACATTCCACAAAAGTTTTTGAACCCAAGTTTTTAATTGAAAGAATCAGGACAATATATTAAATAAATATCTTAAAACCTAATTTGCCTTAGTATACGTTTGAAAGTATTTATATTTATTGGAAGACTAAATAAATAAATAAGACCGTTAAAACCCTTGCAGAATGATATTGTGTGTGATAGTATATGAACATATATGAGTTGGGTGGTTGAGAACATTTGGTGCATCTGGAGTTGACTTCCCTTCATTTTTCTTAACTGAAAATTAAGAGAAAATATAATATTACCTTATCAGTCCGGATATTCTTCCAAAGATTTTGGGAAAAAAATACTTTTTATATTTTATCCAATGGGGTTTGAGGATTTGAACCCAAGGTATCAGGGGCTTTGATATAGCTTTTTTTCACTCCTGACCACTGTACGTAAAAAGGTATTTTAATTTTAAGGACCTATGTACTAGTAGGTTTACACATACGAGTAATTTGCTTTGGTAGAAATGGTATGTAATGTTACATGCCAACGCTCCAATAAACATATGTATTTTGAACGGCCAGATCTTGTTGATACTGGCCTAAAAACCATGTGTATCCCTCCCACTCACTGTGCCGTGTTAGCCCGCCCTCTCCTGCTGTGGCCCCCTGCAGCGGCCTGTCTGCAGGCCTTAGCGGCTACAAGGAATCTCAGCGGGGGGGGGACAGAAATGATGTGTTTGAAGGACAAGCATCAGGCTAGCTGTGACTTACAGTGTACTGTTCCTGCTCATTAACAGCTTCACTCAGTGTTCTCTCCCCTGTGCGGCTGTAATTGGTGTCTGGAGGTGTAATCTCAGTCTGAATGTGCTCCATCTCCGGCAGCTCAACTCTGACCTGCTGCCGTTTGTAAAGAGCAGCGCAGGAGAGTCTGCGACATTCAGCTTTAGCGCCGCCCCCGTTGTTTTCCACCGTCAGATCGTAGGGCAGGAGAGGTGGAGTCAGCAGCTGCAGCAGGTAGGAATGGCACCACTGCAGAAATTACATCATACATACGTCCTACATACGTCTTATTTGTTTGAAAGGAGTCTTACAGGCTCTAGGGGATGTGTTACGTGCAAAATTAGTAGGTGTCTGAGCTCAATTTGCATAATCTCAAAGTGTAACAGGTTTTTTAGCGGTTTAATGTGTAACATTTCAACATTATAATGTCTCAAAAAGACTATATGAAACTATGAAACCAAGAGAAACCAGATTTTGATCAAGTTAATGGTCCGTTTCATTTATCCCCTTTGAGCCTGTGTCAGTGTCATAAACTGACTTTTTATACTTTATTACAAAACATTTTTAGATCTTGTTTTTTTTTTTTACAATAACACGATAAATTATTTTACTCATGTTATGTATGGATCAAACATTTTCAGAAAAACAACAGAGCATTTTTCTTCAACAAGCAACCAAACTTGTCAATGCAAGCAGCCTGGATTTTTAAGAAGTTTTAGCCTTGAAAATAAGGGAAAAAAAGAAAGCCTTGGGGGTATTTTAATGAATTAATTTTCTAATAATACGATATTTTTTAAGATGAGGTTAATTTTCTTTTTCTTCAAAAATGTAGTCAATTTCAAAAGATGTTTGTTTTTGAGTATATCTTTTTTTTAAACATAATTTATTTTCCAAATGATATGATATTTAAAAAATGCATAATTTATTACAAAACAATATTCAGTTCAATCCAAATGGACTTGATTTAAAAGTTGTTCATCCTAATGTTCTATACCCTTTGAATCCTGTGTACTGTCAACTGATAATGACTCTCTTCTCTTCAAGGTAAAAACACGGAGGAATGAACTGGATTACTCAAAGGTAAGCCCGTGGTTTATGTATTCCTTTATTCAGAATCTGAACTCCACTATGTTACAAAATGCTTGTACCCAGATATGCGTCCTCAGTTGCCTCTGTGCTGCGTTTAAGCTTTTATCATTTCACCTTCATATATCCACCTGTTTACTAGTCGGCAAGGCCTCTGACAGAGAGAGGAACAGGGCATTTTCTTGCTGTAACGTATATCAAAGTTGAGAAACAATCTTCCCAAAGTCAATGTGTGAGGGGCGAGCGGGGTGATCGGGGTGATCGGGGTGATCAAGAGGAGAGCGGAGCTGCAGAGGAGGGGTCTGATGGTGGTGTGGGGGTTATCTGGTCCCGCCTGAAACCAGAGCAGGAAGGATTAGTTACCGAGGCCTATTTACGGAGGAGACACCGAGGCTCTGAGACAGTGGCATTGTGAGAGAATCTCCTTCAGCAAAAAAGGGGACAGAGGGAGAGGTTTGAAGGGAAGGAGAGATGAGGGGACACGAGGAGGAAAGCTGAGAGCAGCACACAGGGAGGGATACCATTTTGGGGAGGAACAAGAAAGACCTTGAGTGTAAAGTTTTTGATTCAGAACAGAGATGGGGACGCATAACTACAGGAACTTTGTTATGTGCTTTCATCCCGATCATTTTGATTAATAACTATCATTGGGTTACAGCTTTTCCATTTGGGTGAAAGCAAGTTCTATGGAAGCAATACGATTCAAATTAAAGTGTAATATGTACTAGATTACATTTAGATTTATAGTTATAGTATTATTTTTTTACCTTTTTAGAGGTATTAAAAAGACCTAGTGTCTAGTCACTATGATATACTCATATATTTATATTTATATAGTCTTAAAGTTACAACCATTATGATAATGTGGGCCACGATGAAATTGAGTTTGACACCCTTGGTGGAGTGTCTCAAAAAATGACTGATGATATCTAGAAATAATGACTTACTATTGAAAGAATTAAAACGTTCTAATAATATTGACTATTTTGCGGTATCAAGTGATTATTCCAATAAATGATCTAATTATCCCTGCTGTCGTGTTCGTTTCTCCCCCTTTGGTGTTCCCGCTCAAATTTGACCGTACAAAAAACATTAATCATCACCAATTTTTGATTGAACATTTACAATGTATCTGTAAACAATGTCTCAGACTATTGGTTTACGTGAATAAGTCCAGAAACTATGCAAAGAATAGAAACTGAAAATGAATTCCAAAATTAACATTTAGTCAATTGTGGGTGTGTACTATCTGATGGATAAACATAATCTAGGGTTACCCATTCATTTTCTATGGCAGTCATTTTTGAACAGGAACATCATGGGTGTTACAAAGTGAACTAAACCACTCAAAATTCAATGAAAGTGGTGATCAGCAATTTGATATGTTCAAATGCCTTCTGCGGAGGATATCATAAGACCTTGAACACATTATTTATGATTGATTAAAGTAGTGAATCGGTCACATTTGACCCGAACATGACAGCAGGGCTGAAAAAAAGGTTCCAAAATTGGTGAACGTGAATATTATCTAAAGACATTCATATTCACACTAATAATAAAATCTAATCTGACTACATTGAAAAAGGGAGGATGACTTACTTTTGCCTAAAGCCTTTCAGAAGCTTCAACCCATTCACTGAGATAGTGATTAGATCAGTGAGTAGAATTGCTTCAACAAAAAGGGAATAAAAAAGATGAATCTGCATCACGCAACATGACTCTCTTCATGTAGGAACATCAGAAAATGGATGGATGTGGAACTTATAAGGTCAACAGGATACATTAAGTCAATGCAGAACAAATAACAAGTGGGAAATGAGGGTGGAACATATTTTAGTTTTAATGAAATAAGCAGAGCAGGTGATGCAGAGTTCAGCACCTTCAGGTTTTGTTAAGGAGGAAAGGCCTTCGGGAGTTTCTACCTCCAGAATTCATGAGGTTAAAACGCCCTCAGCAAAAGATGTCCAACACACCAGTGGAGAGGCACAAAGAGACACCCAAATGCTCCCAGTCTGAATACTCAAGCTGTTGGTTAGGGCTGATCTGACATGATGTTTTCACTTTCGCTTGTATTAATGTATATGTTGTGTGTGTTTGTAAGTCCCAAGTCTTGTATACAAAGACACTATTGAGATTGAAGGTTCTTTTTTGTAACTAGGTGTACTTTGACAGCAGTTTAAAGGCGCCCTATTATGCTTATTGCCCTAAATGCTAATGTTTGTATTTAGTGTCTCTACTGGGACATGTCTTCATGCTTTAATGTTCAAAAAGCTCTTTATTTTTCTCACACTGCTTGTGCTGCAGCACCTCTTTTCACCCTCTGTCTGAAACCAGAGCCCAGTCTGCTCTGATGCCCCTTTCACACCGGCGCTTTTCCAGCTCCTGCTCGGAGCTGGAGCTGGAAAAGCGCCGGTTTTTCCTGTTCACACCGCAGCGGCGGCGCGTCATAGCTCCGGAATGCGGTTCACTTCCAGCTCCAAAAAATTGTCGGTCCAGAGGCAAGAGCTTCGGAGCTATGACGCGGCGTCGCTTACGTCTCTTACGTCGAGGCGTGCAGGAAACCTTACTTTGACCATCCGTTCGCTGTTATTGATCATTGTGGAGATACATGGGCTGTACAGGTTGTCATGTCCGACTATCACAAGTAGAATCATAATGAAAAATACGCCGGTAAAATGTTCCTGTAGAAAACGGCTTAGCAAGTAGTCAGTTTAGCTTCGGTTGCTATGCTAACATCACCCATGTTATACCAGAGAAACTTTCATAACAGCGTTGTGATGCCAAACAGCGTAAATTCAGACTGACACACATTCACTTGAGGGGAACTGGGGATATGTATCAGCTGCTTGTGTGACAGTCAGACAGTGAATACTTTAGAGCCGTGTGAGCTAACTCGGAGCTAACGGGAGAATAAACTCCCGTGGAAGAGCAGCCAGCACTGCAGCGGTCGGTAAATGCGGCTGAAACACATTAATAAACAATGAACCACGGCACTCTGGAGAAAAGTATAAGGTTGGAGAAGTCGTTATTTAATTTAATCTGGCTTCGTATGATTAAAAGCAACACGATCATCGACCCGACGCAGTCCCCGGCCCGTTGTTGTTGTGGGAGAAAATCAGCGACGTAAACTGTGACGTCATGACGCAGCAGCGGCAGCTGGGCAGTGTGAACAGAGCGGGAGCTGAAAAGGGAAACCGGAGCTGCACCAGAAAAGCTCTCGCTAGGAGCTAGAAAGGGAAAAGCGCTGGTGTGAAAGCCGCATGATTGGTTAGCTGGCTGGCTCTGTTGTGATTGGTCAACTGCTTAGAGATGTCCCGCCCTTTAGCCTATCACGTACAATTCGTAAGAGTGCTAGCCAATAGCAGCATAGGTGTTACATAGTGATGTCACTATGTTAGGGAAGTAAACAAAGGTGTCCAATGGAGGCATTTTTAAGGCAGGGGGAGAAAACTCCCTCTGGAGGGAACTTTGGGATTGTAGCCTTTGCAGACCATTAGCATGCACACAAACCTATATTACAGACTACAGGAAAAGGGAAACCCCAAGGAGCGTAATAGGGCCTCTCTAAAATAATTCACATATTACGGCAATAACATTGAAACATAAAAACATTATATAATAAAGTGTGTGGGATAAAGTTATCACACACACTATCAATATCTTTGGGCAAGTACATATAATATCATTTTGGCACAAGAAAGTTGCTGTGCAGTGATCTGATGCCACAATTACCAGACAGCAGAGACAGAGGATCTGTGAGATGAAAGGTTAGAAACATAAGATAATAAAACATTCTGTGCATTCGCTACTAATCTTTTAAATATAATTCACCGCGATGAGTCTGACATGTGCCCCTAGTAGTTAAATGCAGTAGGCTGCCTCCAGCGGCGCCGGGGGCAGCGTGCAATAACCGTACATGATTGTGTTATACAGTGGCTCTCTGCTTTGCTTCAGTTCAATCCAGGTACTTAAAGAGTCCCTTACTTTAAGGGTAACTTTCGCTGTCTCCTTAACACTTTGCAGCTGGATAGTAACAGGAGTGACACTAACAGTGACAAACTAACGTGTGTTTTCATCCCTCGACAGCTTTTGGCAGCGGTTAAGTCGGAGAAAGGCGTGAGCACAGCAATGGATTTATGCTGTTACCATGGCAACAAGGCTCTGGAGGCCATCCAGACGTTCCCCTCCTCCGAGGCTCGATCCGCCTTGGAGAACATCGCCTCTGCCATCACCAAATTCTGACCTGTGCTCACACACACGTACACACACACAGAGTGTCTTTGTCCGCAACAGGATGAGGAGCACTGAACTGTTGACACTTACGAAACAAATCAACTTATTTTGTGCCAGGTGCTGACTGCTGGAGAAACGGTTCTGCTCCGCCGGGGATGACAGTGTGCATCAGAAATGCAATGGCTGTATCCATAAATGGTCATCATTAAAAACAAGGAATAAAAACACATTACTTCAGCATCATGTCATGCATTGTGTCGGCTCCAACACATACCCTTCCTCTCCCGGGTGGAGAAAATCTCACGCCAAGCTGCATTAAAAACCTGGCAGTTTATTACCACCTGGCTTATCAGCTAAGGCACATACCAGGCAGAACGTAATGTAAGATGTTTTGAAGTATTGTTATTGTCATCTGGAAAATGTGCCATGAACGGCAGCTGATCACTTCACCCAGGTTCACCCGCTCATTACTGAACACCTCAGATGATGCTGAAATCATAGCTGCTGGATGTAGTGGGTGTGTGCCAATTGAAGAAAAGCTTAAATCCAGAAATGTCTCAAAGTCATGTTCTAGCAGGGTTTTTGTTTTTTTTAAGTCGTTTTGCGTGATGCTCTCTTCACAGAGGGGGAAAGGGCATGAATCAGGAGTAATGTCATCTATGTTGCCTTATTATGTCTGTCCCCACGCCTGTGTATAAAGGTCACACAGTCTCTCCCCTTGGCCCAGCCAGCGAGCGCATTGAAGCTCCGCCAAGCAGTAATTATTAATGAAGAGACCTGAGCAAATGGACAGGAAATGCAGAGGTATTGATTGGGCCGGCTGCCCTGCTCCAAGCCGTACAGGCTGGCGCCAGCCTGGTGGCTTGTGGTTTCCCAGGCTGCTGTCTGCAGAGGGAGGGAGGGGGGGGGAGGCAGTCAAGGTGTGAAACCAGGCCACTGTGGCAGCTGTCTGTCACATCCAGGCCACACCTGAAGGACGGAGCAACAGAGACGGGACGAGAGGAGATCTAGGACTAAGGGAACATACCTAACACAAAGGGTTCTGTGTAGTTCAGCAGATAATGTTGGTACAACCACATGTGTTTGATTTTGAATTTGGATAGCAAGAATCATGAGCTGTTTTGAAGAAAAAAAAAAGAGACAACTCAAAAAGAGTTTAATTTGAGAAGCTGATTAAGGATGTTAGCAATTTGTTAGCAATTTGTTCCTAGGCAGTGTACATTCACTACTTTAGTCGAGACTAACCTGTGTATCACAGTATTAGAGGGAGTGTTATGACAGCAGTCCCTAAAGGATGAATCTGCCTAACTTTGGTTTAGCAGCCCTTTGAATTTAGCGCTCATTAGCAAACGTTAGCATGCTAAATTATGTTGGCGTTTGCACAAATTGCAGCTTGTCTGTACGCTCTTAGTCTTGTATATTGAATGGATTCGCAAAGAAAAACTACAACACAACTTTTCAAGTGCCTTTAAGTTGCACCAATATAGCACATTTTAGTTCTGTCATTTATTAAAAATGCTACACGAATTACGTTTTTTGCGGTGGTCAGAAAGTAAGCATCGCACCAGTTCACTTAACAAAAAGCAAATGGTATTTTTCCTTTCCTTCCAATTTAAAAAAAAATAATACTCACAAATAAAACCACTTTTATGACTTTTAAGCGTAAAGGAAAACGCCAGAAGTACCAGCTAACTCTAAGCTATAAACAAACGACACCAAGGTCACGCTTAGTAGTCGTATTTAGCACCTTGTTAGCAAACCGCCTTGTTAAAGCTAGTTTATGCTTCAACATTAATGAGTTGTGTATTTGCGGACATATTTTAAATCTCTTAAAATCGTGTTAACACAGGCCCCTCACGCAGCAAACCATAAACAAGTGATTTTGAGACTAGTTCATGCAAAAAGGCTAACACATTTCTGGGTTCAGGACTCATTACTGCAGCGCTCAATGGTTCATAGCCTTGTCAAATGTTGTTAGATAAAAACAAAACATTTAAAGATTACATTCTGCTATTTCCTGCATACCTATTTTACAAGTGTCTAGTTAATATGGTAGTCTCAATCATCCAATCAAATACCTCAATTAGTTAAAAGGTTTAAGACCTTTGGCCCAGCATCAGTGTTTTAGTGTGGATGTGGAAAAAACATAGGGTTGGAAAAGGGGGAAGGGGAGATGATGAGGAGTGAACTATTTCAAAAACAAGCCCCTGTCTGTTGTTGGGTTGTTTATCCACTTCCTCTTCTGTTTGGGTTTCCGCTGCTTTGGCTTCCTGGGTACAGCGAGGTAAGGCCTGTGCCAGGATACGCCTCCGGCTCTTCATGAAATATTTATCCTTGCCGTGAGGAGACATGAGGAAAGTTACATGGAAAGTTAAAAGACCCAAACAAGGAAGGAGGCTGGGGCTCTGCCAGAATGACAAATATAGTTCCTAAACAGAACTTTTTATAAGACGCGAGGTCTGGCCTTAGCAATGAAACTGTTGCAAAGGCGGTCCCTGTAGAAATCAACCAGGCAGTGCAGAAGACGATTTGATGGGATGAGTTTTTTTGTTTGTAACTCGAAAAGAAAACAGTTCTTCAAGCTAAATGTTTAATGCAGAACAGAATGTGTAGCCTTTTTTCTTCCCAGACAGCATTGCTGCTGCCAGCATTCATCTTTTTGATATTTCCTGCAGTCCGAATGAAGAGGGGAGCGGTTTGTCAGCTTTTATGACCTGCACAGCAGAAACCTGACACTGTGTTTGCTTACAGTTTCCAGTTTGAGAGTCTTGGGTGTCATGCAAGTAAGAGTTTGCAAGACTATAAGTTTACATGCACAACATGTAGATGGTAACAGCGGCTCTAGTGTGCCCGGCCCAGACGATGAGTGGTGTAATTACAGCAGGGTCCAGTGGAGAGAGTTGGTCAGCACATATTCCATTACACACACACACACACATGCAAATACATGTGTGGATGCTGGGGTCAGAACCACTGTCAGCTCAGGAGTTTGACAGAAAGATAGTGTTTGTCAAACTTGCTAAGAAAATTATACTCAACGTTTCTTGTGTTGATATTCTGAACATGTTAAATATTACCGTATTTTACTGTTTTCACTGAGACGTTTATTCTTTTCAGGGAGGAAAAGACAGATCTGAAACACAGAGTAGGAATTTCTTCAGTTTTATGGAGAGGCTTTTTTGATGTGCTCTCCCTGTCAATGACATCCAGCTCAAGGTCTCATTGTCTCCTGTTTAATGTGTGCCTCAGAGTTCAGAGCCTTATGAGTTTGGAACTTTTCTTTAAGATGCTCAACCTCAGCGAGGAAAGCCTTGTTCATTGTGAAGTTTGGATGTCTGCTCATCTGCAAAGACCTCAAGGCAATCTAGTGTGGACAATATGTATTCATCACTGCTGGTGATCCAGGCAGTATCTTCTGATGTACTGCTTGTTGAGGCAGTATCTTCTCCTCTGATGGTGGTCGGGCCAGTATTTTTTTTACTTCTGTTGGTCGTGACATTAAGTATAGCCTAATCACAATGGTGGTCTGATCATCTTTGCATAAAATGGCCACAGATACAAAAGGTCTGGGTCTCATAATATGTGATTATCTCTCAGTTGATAAACCCTGTGATGGACTGATGCCCTTGCCAAGGTGTTTCCCAGCCTCATTTCCTACTGCATGCTGGGATACATTCCCTGCAGCCTCTGTGACCCTGTTAGGAATAAGCCAGTATGTAAAATGAGTGAATCTGAATGTGGAATGATATCAGAGCCTCCATTAGTCTTCCTGTGAATGGCCTATCAGTAAACACCTGCTAATATCATCATATATCTGACGGTGATGGATGAGAGTCATTCTCCTGCGATAGGAACAGTATGGCTGATTGGCCTCCCCGACTCAGACGAGCATATTGGCCAAAAATGACACTTTAACGAGCTCTTCCCGGGTGTTAAGTGCTGCGCGCCGGCCCCTCTTCGCAAGCCGACGCCTGGCTGACCCCGGGCCGTGCTTCCCCCCCGCACAGGGCCGGCTCGCTCCATTGGCTGACAGATCAGACTGCCATGGAGACAGCTCATTAGTGGAATAATGAGAAGCACAGCAGCCACACGTCCTCTTGTTATATCATATCTGTATCGACATATTTGTGGTGGAGGACAGAACATTGGGTGCTAGTGGGTGCATGAAATGATTAAAATAGGATTATGGCATTGTTCATCTCTCACTCACTTAAATCTTTGTTCAACAAGGGAACAAATTCACCATCTTTGCTTATTGGCACATCTATTTTTCCCCTTATTAAAACAATACAGTAGAGTTTCAAAAGATTGCCTTCTTTTAATTATAATGATATCTATTGCTTTCAGCTGCCACTAGTTCAAAGATGATGTATTTGACAGCATTTTCTTTATGGTTGAGTTTTTACCTCATACTCTTTTAACTCTGAGTCATATGATACGAGCTTCATAATGAGTGATCAGACTGTCAGCTGTAATGTGAGGATATTTGTTGTCAATAGATGAAAAGTCTGAATCCCTAACATCAGACATTTTTGTTCTACTCAACAAACACACAGCAATAGTTCTGTTAGATGTCTCTTAACAGATAAGTATCAAAGAAAGGTTAAATACAACCTTTTTAAGGAAATAAAAAGTTATATTTTACTGTCGATATGGCTTCTATACCGATATAGGTCATCCCCTCTCTCAAATGAAATATATGTTTTTGGGTGAAATTCTAAATATAAATACTCTTTATGAAATAACTCAATGAAATTAAAAGTACTGAGTATTTTTTCGTTTAATTAAGACCTTTAGTGCAAAATGCACACAGGAGTTTCACCAGATCTTTAGAGAAAAGTAAGAAATCAATGTTTTTATTTGTACACTGGATATGTTCAAATGCATGCACACAAATACATAGCAATCAGATTGATAGGATGTCGACAGGTGGCGTCCAACTCTCATCGGAATTTGACCCTGAACCACAACGTCCTGTTAGATCAGGGGTGTCAAACTCAAGGCCCGGGGGCCAGATTTGGCCCCCGACTTCATTTTATTTGGCCCGCAAGAGCTTGCAAAAAATACAATACGTTTATTATACGGTTTCATGCCACTTTACAGAAGCATGATGTCCCTAAACTACATGTCCCACAATGCATCTCATTTTGTGACATGCGCACTGAAGAGACTTGCCATTTCTGCTCTCAGACGTAGTTAATTATGAAGTTATTACCCTATCCGATAATAATCCAATG